TAATATGAGAAGATGGGGATGGTATGCGGGAAGATGGGATAATCATGAAGTATGGAATCATCTCTGGGAATATCGGATAACAAGAGGATTTCACCATCAAATACCATGGGGATAGAAACATAGTATCGCCACCTCCGCTGAAAACAATATGAAAGGCATTGGGGATCATCATCCCATTTACAGGTAGTTTAAAAAACATCACTCCACGAACCAGACGCAAGACATCTATACAACCAGTTTCACAATCCACGTTGAACCACTGAGCTCTGCATGTTGAGATGGCGCGGTTGGCCATGCCTTTTTTGATTCCTCGGGAGGAATGGAGGCCTCCGATATCGGTGATGCCTTAGGCCCAAGGACTTAGGACAAACCATGACAACAAGGACATCAAGTAGGCCAAGCAATGTGCGTGGACCCCTTGAAAAAACAGGGCACATGAGAGAATTGTTGACCCGTGAGAAGTCACTTCATGACCCTATTTTTCTCTCAGGTCTAAACCAATCAAATAGGTAGTGCCTCTGGATCGCACCAAGATGTCCTGATGAAGAAATCAACTGCCGTCCGTGGGAATCGGTGAAAAAAAATCGCCCAGTCCTCGAAGGCATCCATGAAGTTGTAGCCAGAGTAGCCCATTGACAACGGCACCTGTGTTGAAAAATTGCCAAACAAACATCGTGGAAGTGGTCGACCGGGAAGTCACAAGGTAGTAGAGGCTCGCGAGCTATTAAGAATTCAGGTGAGCCAGTGTTTCTGGCAGATATGTCCAACTAATTAGCGCTGAGAGGCGCCTGGTGGTTTTAAGGGGGTTTGCGTGCACTTCCCAATGTAACTGCGCATGCAGCCTTGCACGCCTGTTTTTCCACTTCTCAAAAACTACTTCAACCATGGAACAATTCCAGCGTAACATGAACATCAACGTAAACATCCCACACCGCCCCACCCCATGATCAGCGTAACATCGTCAGCGTAACATAAACATGAACGTAAACATCCCACACCGCCCCACCCCATGATCAGCGTAACATCGTCAGCGTAACATAAACATGAACGTTAACATCCCACCCCACCCCACCCCATGATCAACGCAACAGCATCTGCGCAACATGAACATGAACATTAACATCCCACCCCATCCCACCCCATGATCAACGTAACATCACATCCCACCCCACCCCGGGAGGATGTTGAGGAGGAAGACTGGGAAGCACACTGTGTGCGAGCCTGCGTAATCGAAATGCATGTCAAGGTTTCACAAGAGCCACTTTATAAGGAAATTTACTGGGAAAATGCCGCGGCCCAGAGTGAGCACCCTGATCAAGCACCGGCCTCTACCGTAAGAACCCCTCAGTGTAGATACACTGTTTGGGGAAAAGCACCAAAAAGACATCAAAACACCCAGGCGCCCTGCCGCGCCCATGGCAACTAATTTCATGCTTTGATGGGCTTACAAATCACCACACACAACTGGGAGGATTTCTTGAAGCCTAGGAAAACTGGAGGAGGTTTTTGCATTGCCACGTTCTCAGACGTGGTTTGGTATCTCTGTGTTTTCATACAGTATATGTGTGCAACCTATCAAGTGAAAGCAATGACGATACTGGTAATAACGATAATAACGATAATAACAATAATAATAAACCGTAACAATGACATTATATATTTTTTCAAACATCAGAATAAGTATCACGTGCAAAATTGGCATAAACACATGCAAATAATGATGACTACCAAATATGTATATATATATATATATACATCTATATATATATGTAAATATTACTGTATATACCTGAATTAAATTGAATTAGTATACGTCATTCACCTGAAAATAGCTGAAACTTATGGCCATTTGGGGATGATTCCCCGAATCCTATCATTCCAGTGACGTCAAAGTGACGTCACAGTGACGTCACAGTGACGTCGTTGTACTTCACCCAGAGATATGTACTGATCATGATCACAAATTATCAATACGATATAATATATGTATATATAGCTAATATAAATAAGAATAACATAATAACTACTCATAAACAGTTTAAATATGAACACACACACACATATATATATATATGCTATTTATGTTATAGACTGATAACCATTGTCATTTGTATATCACCAACTTAGCATCTGAACCTCGTAGAGCTCCATGTCCAGGCCGCTCTCGTAGTCAGCTGCCATAATTTTTGCGTGGCGAAGAATACGACGAGCAACATGCACTGGTGATTTCCGGGAAATTCTTTTGGTGATCATCCCGAAAAGTAGTGACAAATCCCAGAACAAAAAAGTGAGAATCCATTGGTTGATCATCATCTTCATGATTTTGGGAAGTCTTCCGCAGTCTTTAATCATCAAAACTCATATTCAAAATCAATCATATATATATATATCATAATGATTCAATAAGATTGATCTTCAGAATCAAATGAGTTGTGTTTCATATCTCCCAAATTAATGAACATCGGGCTTGATGCCCATCTTTCGCCGGGAGGACCGAGCCAATGCCGTCGCTGGCTGTAGATCTCTGCGCCTTGACCTCAGTGGCGAAGCGATTCCCAAGACTCTTATCATTGGATTGGTTGGTGGTTGACCTACCCCTCTGAAAAATATGAAAGTCAGTTGGGATGATTATTCCCAATATATGGAAAAATAAAGGCCATGTTCCAAACCACCAACCAGATTATTGGATTGGTTGAAGGGAAAATCGAAGAAGGAAACCATGGTTTTTACCATGAAATAATGAGGGGGGTCCGGTAAATTGTCCAAACCAATCCAATGATCTTAGATGTGTGGTGCCATGATTATACCATGATGATCCCATTATGACAGCTGATATGTCGTAGATGTTTTTGTTGCATCGAAAGAAGCCGTAACTTCCAGATCGAAGCGGCCCATCCCAAAAATGGCGCCCGTTTCTAAGGTCCGGCACCCACAGAGACGCAGAGGTTGCAAATCATGGCAATCGCTCCAGGAAACATGCAGGCCTCCCAGCCAAGTAATCCCCAGACAAAAACAATATTGTATAATTAAGCATATATGTATATTATATTATATGGGGATAGTGGATGTAACATAATATTATAGGGATATTTTAGAGATGTATTACATACCTGGTGTTATGTAATAGTATAATGTAATGTAGTATGCATGATATAATATAATATAATACAATAGAATGTAACCAAACAAAATATATTATAATATAACATAATATGATATAATATCATATGATATAATATAATATGATATAATATTATATCATATGATATAATATCAAATGACATAATATGATATCATATGATATAGTACAATATGATATCATATGACATAATGTAATATGATATTATACAGTATGATATAATATGAAATAATAAATATGATATATGATATATGAGACATGATATATGATAAATGATATGTGGGAAAAAGTCTGTCTGTCTGTCTGTCTGTCTGTACGTATGTATATGTCTAAATATAATATATGATGGGCTCAGGGCTCAGTGTGTTTTCCAGAATGGAATTACATGGAATCACTCTAAGTGGACATGTAATGTAGATGAACATGGCCTAAAGTGGGGAAATGGCGGCTGTTAGAGCACTTGTGAACTTATGACTTGCAACGAGGAATTCAGCTTGTGGCGCGATGCTCACCATGTTCTAGCCATATACTTCCGGTCAACAAGGGCGTGGCAAGTTGTGCACAATGCCGCGATGCCAACATACCCCAACCACAAACTAAAGGTCATAGATTGTCAATCTGACTTTCACTGCTTCCCAGCCTTTCCCAGCATGCCCATTTTGATGGCATCTATGCCTTAAAGCACTACAGGGGCAGGTTGCAGTTGCAGCCCGGACTTACACAGTAGCAATGGATCACAAGTCCTTTCGCACTGTAGAACTGTCGAATGCATCACAGCAAGCGGGTTAATACAGTATGGATACATTCTTTTTTCAAGGGCCCAACAAAAGTATTACTTGAGAAGTAACGCTCAAGATTGGAACAAACAATCAATGGATTGGTTTAAGGGAAAATCTACAGGTCACCCTGTAAATTTTCCCTTAAACCAATCCATTGAAACAATCTGCCTAAGTCTTTTGAAGTCAGAGATTCGTTTCCAGCATCTGCCGAAAATCTGCTCAGCTGGTGCAGCAATTGGACCATCAGCAAATCCCAGCAAGTCGCAGCAAGTCATGGACTAAGTTCTTCAGCAAATGCTCTTAAATGGCTGAGTCATGAATAGTGGTTCAGTATGGTTCAGTATTATATCATTAATAATACATCTTACTATGGCCACCGTATGCTCTCGGCGCCCGAGGTTGCAGCTCACAAAGTAGCTATTCGGTGTGGAGCCCGACAGCACCGAGCCTTGATGCCTCGGGATTCGGAGATTTACCCTTTGGCAGTCCGACAACGATTTGAATCACGTGGCCATTTTTTTGGAAATATATCATGATAATTCATGATATATCATGCAATATGATACATCTATCGTTTTCATATCATCTACCATCTTGATATAGTAAACCATTATCATGATATATCATGATACATCTACAGTCTATCACCGTCTATAGTTTATGATGTTTATGGGGGTCGTAAAGCACCTCACTGACGAGACCAAATCGCAGTAACTGAGGCCGAAGCTGCGCACTATGCAGCACACCTAGGCGCCCCGGGTCAAGCTGCTGGATCAGTGCATCGCTGATCAATTCGTTGCTGCCGATTTCAGGTAAAATGAGTACTTGGTGGCTCATCCCACTTAGTAAGTAGGTTATACCCCTGGTTATAACTGGGCTAAGTAGGGTTAGTTCACCTATAACTGGTGTTATAATCCACTTACTAACTGGGATGAACCACCAAGTAGGGTTTATGCCCAAGTATAAGGCGTTCAAAGGTTCCTTTGAAATGGAGGTGGGTGAACCCCACAATGAGGCTACCCAAAATTAACATCCGAAATGAGACCATTTTAGCGGTGAAAGCCATGGTTTCTACGAAACCGTCAGCCAAGGCAAGCGCATGTGGCTTGAATGCGCGGTCCTGCAGCACACATTGCATAGGTACCTCAGTGACATGTTTTGTGGTGAAATATTTGCCATCAAAGGGTCTAGGTCGTGCATGGTAATGCCCTCCGGTAATCTGACATAGCTATAGAAAATGGCCCATGAATAGATGATTTGCCTATCAGACATGGTAACGTTCATTGACATTCCATAGCTAGACGTCACCAGAGGGCAAATCAGCTCAAAGTCGCAAATCCAATCTCAAGTGCCATGTAAAAGGCACATTGACCTAAACTGGTTGGTGGTTTCAACCCCTCTGAAAAATATTAGTCAGTTGTTCACCTTATTCCAAGTATATGGAAAAATAAAAAAATGTTCCAAACCACCAACCAGTAAATGTTTTTTCTAGTTTTCTTGAAGCTGGTGCTCGCAAAAAAAGCCGCAGGTGCCTGGATTTTCTCCCGCAGGACCTGGGTCGACCATCCAGGTCTCCAAACGCATGATGTTGGTCTTGTCGTCCCGATCCACATCAGAGGTCTGCATATTGGGAAGAACCTCAGGTACTTCTGTCATAGCTGTCATAGCTATTGGTTTTCCGGTTGAAGTCGTACTTAAATATATCAAATATGTACAAATGGGGGTAATGATTAACCAGTGAGTTTAGGGGTACATTATTTTCAGACAAACCCATATGTGGGAAGGGAGCATAAGAGGATTTGACCATCGGTCATTGGGGATCAAAAGAAAACCTTTCGAAATTTCGTTGAACAAAAGACATGTCGAAAACCACCAACCAGTAGTCAACATTGGTTACATACCCATTGTATCCCTAATTTTAGGTAAGTTAAGTCGGTTAAGTTAAAGTCAGTTGAATCTCTCTATTTGCTGCTTAGTCAACCATCATCAACCCTCATCAACCTCATCACCCTTTGGTAATTTAACATAGCTATTGAAAATGGCCCATTAGGTCGTTGATTGACCTATTAAGGATGGTGATTTTCCATAGCACACTGTTAGTTTACCAGAGGGTAACCAGCATCAATGAAGGAAACTGCCAACCAATCATTAACCAATGGTCAACCAGTCATTAACCAGGAACTGTTTCTCATTTTTCTCATTTTTCTCATTAACCAAGCCTTTGGATCAACCAATCAATCAAGGAAATGGGGATGGGTCAAAACCTTGTACCCCTGTAGTTCACATCAAAATAGCTGGAATTTATGGATGTTCATCCCCCTAAAAATGGTATTTTCATAGGTATTGATCCATACCCAACTGTCTGGTTCCGCACACCGACGGTGAAATCGACACCGAGGTCGGGGCGACCACCCGCTTGGCATAGCTGGCACTGGCACGGCGACAGTCGTACGGCTGGAACGCCTCAGGACAGGCGTTCCAAAGCGGCCAGCCCCAGGGGGGTGTCGGGGGGTTCATCCCAAAGATCAAGAGGATGGGAGTTGGTTCCTCCCCTGTAACTGAAGTTGGCCTCTCAAAATGGATCATGGTCATAAAAATGGTCTCCTTTTTATTGAAGACAAGTGGATCAAAATGGATGCTACAAGAAACTGGATCATGATCATGGATGCTACAAAGTGGATTTGGTGATTTTTTTCTTACCATTCCCCTGCCACTTCCTCCACCCATAACAGCGCCAGCTGGGCATTTCCTTTGATCAGGAAAACGCGACTTCGGAACCTCGGCAAGCTCGGGGTTGGAAGCAGCATCAAACCACCCATGAGATGGAAAAGTGGACAGTACATCGGTATCAGTAGCGTAAAAAAAAAACCACCAGCTCTGAATTTTATTGCAAGTTGGTTCCAAGAAAATATGCAAAAAACAATTTCATCATGTTTTTACATGTTTTTTGGCACTGGCATGGAGCACATCACTTTTTTTCAGTGCTGCTTTCAAGGACATTTGGCTATTGCAGGGATGCTACCCACAACCAACTGGAAAACATATTTAAAAATATCTATCTCCATGAAATATCACAAACAAATTGGTTGGCGCAATCCTCATGGTTGTTAAGTGCAAATGACATGTACAGGTTCCATGATCCCCGAACTCAACGGTCAGACGATCCTGAGGAAACTGGCAGGGATGCGTCTTTGAGGTCAAGCATCCTGCCAGGTCCAGCAGGTAGCCTCTGGTAAACATAGAAAAAACTATTGAACATGGCCATAGAAATAGTGGATTTACCCATTGAACATGGTGATTTACCAGAGGGTATTACATCTGTCTCAGGATAAGAAACATCAAAACCTTGCTGAATGCAATACTTTCATGGATCAATTCAAAGGCGGTATATCTTAAAAAACATAGGGTAAACCCACGTAAACCCATGTAAACCCAATAGACTATTACCAAATACATATAATATAGATACATATGATATAGATTTGTATGACATACTTCCGATGACATACTATTAGTATTACTAGTAGACCCAATGTAATTTAAATGTATCATGTGGCAAACCCAATTTCCAAATGTATTATTAGTAAACCTATGTAAACCCATTAGTAACCTATTTCCAAACCCAATATTTATTAGTAAATTATATTTCCAACTAATTAATACGATTATTATAAGGTTTACCAACAATTTAGTTCCACATGTATTTCATGTAAACCTAATCGTGCTTTAAACCCGCTGAGTAAATACATTTGGAAAACCCACTGAGTATGTTTCATATTTTATAAACTATTTTTCACATAGAAAACCCACATTATAAACCCATCATGTAACTTATTTCATGTAAACCTAATAGTATTATTAAATATTTGCTGAACCTAATATTACTAATTTAGGTTTACATGTATCCAGTTGTGTATTACTAATGTTTAGTTTCACCTATTTTCAAATACGTTTTTTTTTTTTATTATTAGTTTTCCTATTTCCAAATTTAGTTTAACCTACAAATAAACATTAGTATTCCAGTTATGTAAACCCACTGAGTAAACCTCCAAACCAAAGCGTCCTTCGAAGATGTGCCAAGGTCTTGGAATCTTCCAGGAAAACCACAACATCACTGGCCTGCCGCACATCTGCGGAACATATCTCGTACATAAAAATATATATATATATAATATATAGAATATAATATATATATATATTTATATTTATATTATATTATATTATATCATATTATATTATTATATTAAATTATATTATATATTATATTATGGTCCAGCTATGTATATTTTTTTTGTATTCAGAACTACTAGTTTATTTGCTGATTTATATTAAATTATATTATATATTATATTATATTATATATTATATATTATATTATATATTATATATATAACCATATATATATATAATCATATATATGCTGCAGCGTCGGCCAGCTCCCGCCCAATGGGGATGGGTGTTCAGTCTTGCTTCTTATGGTTCCCCCCCTCTGTGGCCTGTGGTGGTGCTGGGTGTTGGGGATGTTTGTGATGGGTGGCCAGTCTTGGTTCTTATGCTTAGCTGTATGTATGTGGTGTTATGTATGTGGTGTTATGTATGTGGTGTATGTAGGTATGTTTGCATGCATGTATGTATGTAGGTAGGTAGGTATGTATGTGTGTATGTATTGTCTGTATGTCTGTCTCTATGTCTGTCAGTCTGTATGTCTGTCTGTCTGTCTGTCTGTCTGTGTAAGTATGTATGTAATGTAATGTAATGTCATGTCATGACATGTCATGTATGTATGTAATGTACGTAATGTGTGTAATGTAAGTAATGTATGTAATGTATGTAACGTATGTAATGTACGTAACGTATGTAACGTATGTAATGTTTGTAATGTGTGTAACGTATGTAATGTATGTAATGTATGTAATGTGTGCAATGTATGTAATGCCTGTAATGTATGTAATGTATGTAAGGTATGTAAGGTATGTACGTATGTAAACGTATGTATGTTGTTAATGGATGTAATTGCTCTTAATGTAATGTAATGTATGCGTAATGTAAAGTAAGATGGAACGTATGTAACGTATGGTAACTACTGTAATGATATGAATGTATGTATGTCTTTTAGTGTCTGTCGGATGTCATGTAAGTCATGTGGGGTGAATTTTATGTAATGTATTTCTGTACCGTCTGTCCAACGTCTTTCAAGTATGTAACGTGTACGTATGTCCGTATGTAACGTACTGGTAATGTATGCATGTTGTATGTACTTAATGTATGTAATGTACTTAGCGAAGGTATGTTGTAATGTATGTATGTACGTATGGAATGGCGTAATGTAACGTATGTAACGTCTGTAATGTATTAATGTATGTACTGTAGCAATGTTATGTAACGTGTATGTACATGTATGTAGTGGATGCTAATGTATGTAATCGTATGTAATGTATGTAATGTATTACATGTGTGTAATGTATGTAATGTATGTAATGTATGTAATGTATGTAATGTATGTAATGTAAAGTATGGAACGTATGTAACGTATGTAACGTATGTAATGTATGTAATGTATGTAATGTATTTAGTGTATGTAATGTATGTAATGTATGTAATGTATGTAATGTGTGTAAAGTATGTAACGTATGTAATGTAGTATGTAATGTATTATGTAATGTATGTAAGGTATGTAATGTATGTAATGTGTGTAAAGTATGTAACGTATGTAATGTATTATGTAATGTATGTAATGTGTGTAATGTATGTAATGTATGTAATGTATGTAATGTATGTAATGTATGTATGTAAAGTATGTAACGTATGTAACGTATGTAATGTATGTAATGTATTCAGTGTATGTAATGTATGTAATTTATGTAATGTGTGTAATGTATGTAATGCCTGTAATGTATGTAATGTATGTAAGGTATGTAAGGTATGTAACGTATGTAACGTATGTAATGTATGTAATGTATGTAATGTACTTAATGTATGTAATGTATGTATGTAAAGTATGGAACGTATGTAACGTATGTAACGTATGTAATGTATGTAATGTATGTAATGTATTTAGTGTATGTAACGTATGTAATGTAAGTAATGTGTGTAATGTATGTAATGTATGTATGTATGTAACGTATGTAACGTGTGTAATGTGTGTAGTGTATGTAATGTGTGAATAAGCAAGGACAAACAGAAGCAGATCGGCGATTCCGGGGCATCATCTGGGGATCCATCCCATGGTGGGGTGGGAACACGGGACACGGGACCATATACAGTATGTATATGTATAAATAGGTTTATATATATCATATATTACATATGTTACATATTATATGTTATATAATTATTGTATATCATATATTATATTATAATAATGTATGTGATTAAACTATTAACCATATATGAATATGATTATATAATGGATACCTCTATATTTATGGTATCTATTATCATAAATATATTCATATATGTTTACTCGTATTTGATGTATTTGTCTTTATTTATACACTCACGGTTCAGATGCGTACATAATTATACGCACATCTCAATCTATGGACCTCTACTCAGATCTGACATAGAGATATAGACATAAAAACATCATAAAACACTATAAAATGATGTTTCATGAGTTGCAACCGTCGAGCGATCCATGGAGCGATTTTTAAAAGACATCAATTCACAGTGATTCCATCTGACCATCCCATTAATCTATGTGTCTGCTATGGGTGCTGAAGTCCTCTAGTCAGGTCACATCCCATCATAGCTATTCGCATTAATATGATTTAATATGATTCATCCTCATTCAACGAATGATCCAAATAACTCCCATTCATATTAGTATATATTATAGTCATCCATTATTATGAAAACCTCAGTTTTCCCAAAGAACTCCCGGTCCTCAGAAGTTTTTTCACTTTCACTAGGCCCTCGCCTCACGTTCGAAGTCCAAGCCACCAGTGAAGTGGTTGATATGGTAGTACTGGCTCTGTCGGGAAATGGGGTGGAAATCGGGTCTTCTTCGCTAGTTAAACCACGTAAAAATATATGTGTTAAACCACGTAAAAAAATGTAAAACACACATAGAAACATCATGAATCATAACCAACTTCTCCGACTCTGAAAATCAGAGAAATCCACCATGAGATTCAAAGAAGCAATGGGAAGTGAGACCCGAGATCACAACTGCAACACAGCTGCATCAGAAATCTCCTCAAAGAGAAATTCAATGAGAGACTTTGCGGTCCTGTCAGGTCCGGACGGAATTCTGTGGCTGGGACCAAGAGCATCCTGCAGCCTACGAACCATGGGAAAATAAAAACAATGACCATGGTGAAAAATTATGAAAAAATGACAGCTATTCCTGAATTTCGTTTCTTCATGTCTCACAAAATGTATTAATCATTCTTTTCCGGTTCAAATCCGCCGGCCATACGCACTTCCCAGGATGATGGTGTGACCACCATGGTTCCGGTGGTGCCTGGTCCGGGTCACGGCTCAGAGTTCTGCCGGTGCAACGAAGAAGTTTCTGAAATGTGCAGCGCAGATTGTTTGAGAAGAAGTCTATGATGTACAGTAAATAACATGTAATTTTACTTTTAATGGTGTTAACATGTTTTTGAGTTACATAAGTTTGGATAGCCAGAAACAGCGCGAGATTTTCTTCCTCTTCTGAACAAAAACTAATGCTGAGCTTTATATATTACTGAACTATGAGACTGTGAAGGAAAGTCCCCAGGCTGGAACATCATAATGTCCCCAGTGATCCAGATTGAACCCGTGGAGACGTGGCTGTGTAGCCACAGTGCCCATGAGTGCCCCCATTTTGGTACTACAAGACTCTATGCATGTCCAACTCAAAGCAGCAAACTACATACATTCTACAATAGTGCGGGTCAAACCCCGATCTGCTACAGGATGCAGCCAAGATAGCATAGATAGCCAAGTAAAAGATGCAGAAAATGTGGTGCCATATCACACAAGCAACAAAAAGGGAACTTTGACCCTGCAAACACTACAAGTGACTCCTGCAAAATACATCAAAATACTATTTATATAAATCAGAATATACGAAGTATTTTCTCCTGCTCCCAGAGCTTTCAGGTCTTCAGTGGTTGCCTCATTGGTCCTAATGACCAACTGTTTGCATCAAGTGATGGTTCCAAAGAAACCCTTCGTGCGTCCTTTTCAAAAATCATCAGAAATCATCGATCTTCTTTTTGCGACTACGGCATTCGCGAATTCGGTCGCATCTGTTTGCGATGACGACATGTCCAAATTCAGCATCAAGCATTCAACATATGGTGGGTTATTTTGGATTCACGACTTTCCAATTATAACGTTTCCTTTGACGTTCCACTCACTCTGAATCACAGAAATTGACGCAAGGCCCTTTGCAAAGAACGCGGTGATCACCGATGCTATGCTTCAACTCCCAGCCATTCTTCAGCAGATTTGCCACGGATTGGTCTTCTGACGAAGTTACCCTGTCTGGCCTTTGTAGCATCCATGTCAAGCGTTGCAAGTCGTGCAGTTCTAAAATGATCATCGTGAGACTTTCCAGCAACTCCGAGTTTTCATCCAAAAAGGTGGCAAAACATCCCTCGCAATCAATAGCTAAGGTGTCGAAGTTCAAATTCAACGACCTAACAGAGTGCGCCGGGATCACAGTTCCATTATGTGAGTCATTCAGATCCGCCACAAAAGAACCGTATTGCTCTTTGCCCTTTGTACCGCTATTCGCTTGCGGATTCACCAATTTGTAGGATTTCGATCCAATCGTTCCACAGACAACTTGAACGTCGCACTCATGATCTGCCAAGTTCTTTTCCAAAATGTCCCAGACGAGTGGATCAGCATCGACGGAAACCTGTTTGGCGCCCTGTGCATCCCCATGCGTCCCAGTCAGTCCCAGCACTTTAGCCAGCTGACAAGAAGAATGGCCGTAACGTGCGCCAACCTCCAGCACTTTGGCACCAGGCCGCAGCCACAGTGTGAAAACAAAGCGCGATAGCAGCTCCATACTGCAATCAAACTTTCTTCCTTGTTCAACCTTGAAATCACAATTATCCTCTTCGAATAAATGTTCGCAATCACGAACAACTGAGGCATCAGCAGTTGAAGGAGAAGAAGGCGGCGTTGAAGTTGAAGGAGAAGAAGGCGGCGTTGAAGGAAAAGAATGCTGCGATTGCAGTTGGGATTGAACTTGCATCGGTGCACTGTGGTCGCGATGGCCAAATAGATCAATTTGATCAGCCAAAAGCATCTTCACCAAAAACAACAAAATTGTCACGACCACAAGCGCCCGAATCCAAATATAGGATGATTGTGCCATCAGTGAAACAAGAGTAACTAAATCAACCGGATATTGAGTTTTGCTTGACTGCTTGAATATCGCTGCTGGGTATTCAGTGTGTTGCCACTCTGATCCACTCTGTTTTTGCCTCACGTCGGTTCAACATGGTTCAACCCGTTCTTGATGAGCATCTGTGTGTGATGTTCTGTTTTTTTTGTTATTTTTTTTCGATGATGTTATGACCTTCGATATACCCTTCCCGCACTTTAGCTGGTTGTTTCTACTAATATTATAAAATATTAATTGTATGCATATATTATGCATATATGCGCATATATATATAGGTAGGAACCAGCGCGCCGTGTCCGCGGGGCCCTCGAAGGGCGGAGGGAAGCTCCTTAAAACGTAGTGCAGTTATGGCCCGAATCAGCAGTTATAAGTCAGCTAATCACCCCATTTATGGTCAGTTACAACCCCATTTATAGCGATTTACATCTGCTAAAGGGCTTTAACTGTGGGATGATTGAGTTGTTGCAGGGATTTTCCATGGCCAAGGGGTTGGTATTTGGGCATTCCCAGAAAAAGAGGGATAAACCCTAAACCGGTGCTAATTGATAATAATGCTGATATACTGTACTATTCCCAACCACATTTCTGGCTTGAACTTACGCCCTTATTTGTACCAGTAATGATTTCAGTGGACGCAGGTGAAACCTCTCTGTAGTCACAGTGGAAGATTCTTCCTGGATCCTTCCTCTGTCTACACAATATGAACATATAATATATATCATATATGAACCTGGTCACTTAAAATGCAGGTGTACAAGAACGCCAAATCGCCTGCTCTCTATGGGATAGCGCCTCAGTGATGATCCAGCAGCCGCGCTGGGTGGCTGGGTTTTGGCTTTGTCCCAGCTTCCGAGTTCCGGACATTGCAACATGGATCAACCATGAAACATGATGGAGAAGACACAGAAGACACAGAAGACACAAAGTTTCTGTATAATTTGTATAGCTCTTTGAAAAAATCGGGAAATCCATGGAAATCCCCACTTTTCCTCACCGAACATCATCTATAAATCCATGGATGTAGTTTCCCTTGCCAACTTCGAGTCATCGCGACTCAAGCGAGGCCATTTCTGAGGTCTCAACCCCACGAAACTGCCGCTTCCTGTGATGGCATTGATGAGGATAGGCCCAACCCTGCAGATCGAAGCTCTGAACACTTGATGCAACGAACAACAGCGATTAGGAAGACATGTCAATGATCAAAAGGAGACCGCAAAATGTGTTGTTCTCAAAAATCAAGACAAGTGATAACACGTGTACACATCTGCGGGATGTATTTGAAGATTTTGAAGTAGAAAACAGACACCAATGGTCTTACCGGTGCTTGGTAGGGAATCTTCAAATGATCCAGAATCCAGAAGAGGTATCAACAATCATCCCATCCCCATCCATCCCCCCCTTCTCTACTAAGCACCAGTAAGTGGTTGGGGTACCCATACCTCTGTTCAAGCTGTTGTTGCTGTGGGCCCCACTTGGCAATTTGCTGGAAAGCCACCAGCAAGCCGGCAATGCACACCAACTGCAGGAGTGAGAGAAAGAACTAACCACATTCTTGACATTTCTTGACCGTTGACCGGCCTGGAACCAAAGCATTTTCAGTGACTTCTTTAGCTGTTGGCCTAGTTCCAATGAACTTTTGATGTAAGGGTTCTTCACTGTCAGGTGAAAAGCTAAGACTTTGATGCATGGTTGTGGGTCCAGGGACAATCAAATAATTAGGGCAGCAAAATTCTTTGGAATTGAATCGGACAATCTCAGATGATGTTTTTGTCAAACAACGTTTTTGGAGACTGGATGGCACTGCAGCGAGGTAGCCACACACGCTGCCTGCCCGAGGGAGCCGGAAGGGTTTCGAGCCTCAGGGATCAGTCGGCCATCGAGTCAGGAATCATCATCCCATTTCTATGTTGGAAAAGGTCGAAAATCAATCCAATCCATATAAATCCAATTCACCTATTATCAACCAACAAAAACAATAAATGAGCTATCATATATTAACCATTAATATTTGCCCATCAACCAGACGATTTTCATGGCTGACGATTTTCACTAGCCACTACCGAGGCTCAGGCAGTGTTCCCCATAAATGTAAAGAGCGAGATCGCCCATGCCTCTGTGGCCCGACATTCCAATCCCATGGAAAAAGCCATATTTATTGAAGACCTCGCGCAGCTGAGTTTCAATCATATGTTCCATATAGATGTCACTGATGTCACTGATGTCAACCCATATTTTGCTATATATATATGCATATATATATATTATATGCATATATAGTTCGCTGATGTCAACTGTTTTTCATTAAAAAAACAACGGGACCCAACATCTTCGATTTTTTTCCCCCAAAAATGGGGGTGAATCCATGGAAACTCCGAAAGATCTGAGCAGAGCGTGCGAAGGCATCTTGCATCGTCCAGGGGTTTACTGTGCCTGCGCGAGCTGCGGATGATTCACTGATCATTCACTGATCATGACGAATCTGATTCAATGGAAAAAACACAGCAAAAAAAAAGTGATATTGTTTCCTCATCATGAAAATGATCAGTGAATATGAATGAATATGATTCGTTCATTGATGCATCCGCAAAAACAAAGAACTTCTTTCTCGCGGATTGAACATCTATTGCTGACTCTCAGGCTCACCTTTCCCCAATTTCTCAATGATTCATCTCGTTGATACATGGGATAGAAAATCAAGTAGAAGCCGCCCTTTCCAATTCAGCAGGAGCTCTCCCAACTCAATCTACTCATGGTGAAGCCACTATTTTTGATGCTTAATTCCACCTTAAATCTACATCTCTGATCATTAAACTCATGAAAAACCACCAGTTTTCATGCTAAAACCATGGTAAAACCATCATTTTTGACGAGTTTTCATGGTAAAACCCGGTAAAACCATCATTTTCCACCAGTTTTCATGGTAAAACTTGGTAAAACCTTGGTAAAACCATTTGTTGTGGTTCCAATCCCTTCAAATCCACCATTTTTCGCTCGCTCCTGGGAGCTTGTCCTCCTGATCAGTGCCTGTCGAACGATCGCCCCAGAATGGCTGGACGATCTTCATAAATCATCCATATATCATATATATATAATAATATAATATAATATAATATAATAATATAATATAATAATATAATATAATATAATATAATATATATATATATATTGTATACATTGTATATGTTATATATTATAGTAAGAGTTTGAGAGTTTACATACTACATCTATATACAATAGTATACTATATATATATATTAGATTATCTTCTATGATATTCCTTTCATGAGATACTAATGTGATAGATTGAGATATATGATTAGATTAGATTGAGATATAAGATGTATATATATATACATATGTATACATAGCTTGCAAGATTTATATAGTAGATTGAGATACTAATATGATTGATGAAGATATTCAAAAATCTTGTAAGCTTGATAGATATAATAAATCTAATTAGGCTCCCATATACATCTTTTATATTATATACTATGGTGAGAGTTTGAGAGTTTATATACTATATGCTATATATATACATATATGCTATATATATATATATGCTATATATGCTATATATATACATATATGCTATATATATATGCTATATATATATGCTCATGATCAATGAGTTGAAGAGAACACATCTCCACATCTCTGGAAAAAAAAAGAGCCACCGGCCCTGCTCAACGTGATCTGGCGCCTGGTCGCGGTCCCAGAATCTCCAGGGTCATGATGATGGATGCAAACTCGGCGCTGCGGAAAAAATTGTCCAGATTTTTTGGAATGCAAATATGTATGTATATAATTATGTATATAGATATACATGTAATATATATATATATATATATTATTTATAGTGATATTCTCATTTAACTGTTGGATGATGTGGGCTGTGGTTGTGGCTTCTACTTTTCATACCATACCCCCCTTCAATTTGGCTGACATACCCTCTGGTAAACTAACAGTTTGCTATTGAAAATGGCCATTTATATTGAATTTTCCCATTAAAAATGGTGATTTTCCATAGCTATGTTAAATTACCAGAGGGTACCATCAATTCATCAGTCAAGAAATCCAGTTCAGCCTAGCCACATCTATATCCAGTGTGGAACCTATTTGGGGCTAATTTCACCAGTTACATGATGAATATGAGTCTGAATTTCATGCTGCCCTCGATGTTTCCCAATGACACGAACTTAATGTGGGTAAAACAATTAACACAAATAAGCCATCCCCCAAATCACCATAAATGTGGTATAAAGTATAAACCATTCCCAAATGGGTGATTTATGGCATTGTTCTACCCACATTACTCATTTTCATTGGCTTTGAACCATCCTGAAGTCCTGAGATGCAAACCAGAAATAGCCCGTTGAGCACGGTGATGCTGGCATAAAAGATTTGCCTCTCAAAACGAGGCACGCTGTCTACTGCTTCAAAGCCTAATGCCAGACTAAAGGGCAAGAGTAGATGTTGAATATTATATATACACTGCGTAGATGTATATAGATAAATACATAGATACTGTTATCTAATATATATGTAATATATATAATATATATATAATATAATTACATACATATATATATAATATATATATAATATATTTACATATATATATATGTATACAGCATACATAATTTGTTGATGCTCGCCCTGTTCATCTTCGACTCAATTTTGATATGCGTTTTGTTTGACCCAGAATATGAGAAGGCAAAAACAAAAAGTCAACTTCCCAGAATCATTTTGCAAGAGCAATGTGCCATACTGTGCCTCTTCAGGTTGCTTGTGCTTTTCCCTGTGTCGCCCTTTGCAAGTGCTGAAAGACAACCTCAAATCTGCACAGTTTCCACAGAGTTTCCACATTGAAAAATGGTGGAACCGGAGCCGACTCTCACCGACCACAGCGAGATCTAAGAGTCCAGCGGAAAACGTGGAAGCTTGCAAGAAAGGACATCGACCACCAGGTACGCTTTTCTGCGCCGTGGTTGGTAAATGTTGGTAACATCTGCGTATGTTTTGTCATCCTGCTCTGGCCTGTTTTCTGTGTGATAGTCCTCGAAAATTGAATCCATCAAAATGATGTTGCTCTAGTCAAAGAACGTCATGTTTTCCAGAAAATTCATCACGTGGCCAGCCTCAACATGCCTCAACTACCCTGCGTTTTCAAAATCAAAAATTGTCGACACTATTCCTCAATTCCTGCAAAGAAACGACACCTTGACCTAGCATTTGTCAGCGTTTACCCCAAGTCACCCAGTTGAGGGTCTTCATAAGTTTCGAAGGTTTTTGGGGGCCCTGGCGGTTCGCAGAGTTCAGAAACTTCCTTTGTTTCATGGCCTCATTTGTTGTTATAAGCTGGCTTGATTCCGCTGGCTGTCGCAACCCCAAACGAATAGCATAGTAAAATCCCCCAAACAAATGTGGCAAATGATGTTTCCAGATTTTTGGCGGAGCCCTGCAGGTCCCAAAAAGTGGAGGACTCCCGCCTTCCCCTGGAGGTCCAGCGCTGATTCCTCCAGACAATTGCCAAATGTGCCTATTTCAACAATGGGAATATGATGGGAATATGATGGGAATATGATGGGAATATGATGGGAATATGATGGGAATATGATGGGAATATGATGGGAATATGATGGGGATTCTCTCAATTTCGACAATTGGTGGACGCATGTGGACCGACACCAACATTATCCAATTATTGCCATGTTTCATGGGGAAACTATGCCATAACTATGCCACATGTTTTTGTCTATTCCGTGCAGGGTTCGATCTACTAAATGGTGAGGAAACCCGCAAGCTGTGATGGCTTCTCAAACAAATCCTTCATGAATTTAAGAATGTCTAAAATTGTCTAAATATTATGGGAACCCAAAGTTGATGGTTTCTCTTCATCTTCCCTCACCTTCCCTCAATTTGTCATAAATTCTGGTTGATCTCCACTTTTCGACAGAGGGTCCTTTCAGATACCCCGATACGCCACCGTCGACCGGAAAAATCCAGCCATGTGCCTAGTCCAATGGTCGCTGTGCTCACTAAGCAGTCAACCTCAATCGACTGGAATCCGCAGTAATGACCGAATAGACTGACACATATATATATATATGATATATGTGCCTATATATACATGTACATATATATGTATATATATATGATTATGTGATACAAACGTGTTTTGTTACTATTATCGGTGTTGTCCGTGTCGTTGCTGATGATCCTTACCATTTCATTGTTGTTATTGATGTTGATGTCACTATTATTCCTATTATTCAAGTACAAACAAGTACAATGTAATTGTTACACATTAGAATCATTTGAATGCTCAAAGTATAATGATCAGTATGTTAATATCTGGATTTTATATGTTTTGATTATCTTTGACGTAATTGATTCTTGTCACTACCCTCAGTAAACTAACAATGGGTTTCCAATCCGAAATTGCATTCATCACTATGTATCACAAATAATCACAATTCAACACCATTAATCCTTATTAATCACCACTAACCGCTGTTAATATTCCCTGCGAACACCCCCCTGGATCCTTTGCGAGTCAGTTTATAGAAAGTGGACGGCTATAAACAACAATTTCTGCCGTGTGAGGGCTATAAACTTGAAAACCAACATATGGACTAAGTTTTTGTGAATTTTTAGAATAGGAAACAAAAAAATCAGGTCTTTTCAAAATAGTCCCGTTCTTTATTTGGGAGGCATCACCTTCTGAACCTGGCAGCTGGACTCCGGTCCGACTCTGGGGAGCAGGCGATCAGCACACCGTTGAAGGCATGGACCATCAACTGCAGAAAGCCCAGCAAGAGGGATGGCTCGCCACAGCAAGAGATGGAATGATCAATGTATGATATATATATATATGACATATATATATATATATGATACTTGAATGACGTAATATATATATATACTTCAGGAGGAACAAAGTTTATGCTTCTTGAAAGCTTTACAAAACATCCATTTCGGTCACCCGCGGATCACATTTTCAAGTCCGTTTTGCGTGGCAGGTGTGGGACGGTCAATGATCACCCTCTTTTAAATATATAAGATTTTAAAGCTTTTGGAGGGTGAAAATGCGACCGGGGTACGACAAAGCTCCATGCTAGGATTCTACGGGGAAAGGGTGTGCAGAAGAAGAAACCAACCATGTTCACTGTGGGAAGCTCAACAAGCGCAACTTTTGTCCTACCAGTGCGTCACGGCACATGTGTAGCAGTGCAGACAAAGAGGATGGAGACAGACATGTTATGTGGAGTAATGACCAAGCTGAAGCAGGTGCAAAAATCAGCAAATGACTTGGCAATCCCCACTCAATAAGCTTTTTGTACCCTGCGTCACGGCACATGTGTAGCAGTGCAGGCAAAGAGGTTGGAGACAGACATGTTGAAGCAGGTGCAAAAATCAGCAAATGACTTGGCAATCCCCACTCAATAAGATTTTTGTACCCTTCAGGAGGAACAAAGTTTATGCTTCTTGAAAGCTTTACAAAACATCCATGTCGGTCACCCGCGGATCACATTTTCAAGTCCGTTTTGCGTGGCAGGTGTGGGACGGTCAATTATCACCCTCTTTTAAATATATAAGATTTTAAAGCTTTTGGAGGGTGCAAATGCGACCGGGGTACGACAAAGCTCCATGCTAGGATTCTACGGGGAAAGGGTGTGCAGAAGAAGAAACCAACCATGTTCACTGTGGGAAGCTCAGCAAGCGCAACTTTTGTCCTACCAGTGCGTCACGGCACATGTGTAGCAGTGCAGACAAAGAGGATGGAGACAAACATGCTATGTGGAGTAATGACCAAGCTGAAGCAGGTGCAAAAATCAGCAAATGACTTGGCAATCCCCACTCAATAAGCTTTTTGTACCCTGCGTCACGGCACATGTGTAGCAGTGCAGGCAAAGAGGTTGGAGACAGACATGTTGAAGCAGGTGCAAAAATCAGCAAATGACTTGGCAATCCCCACTCAATAAGCTTTTTGTACCCTTCAGGAGGAACAAAGTTTATGCTTCTTGAAAGCTTTACAAAACATCCATGTCGGTCACCCGCGGATCACATTTTCAAGTCCGTTTTGCGTGGCAGGTGTGGGACGGTCAATTATCACCCTCTTTTAAATATATAAGATTTTAAAGCTTTTGGAGGGTTGCGACAAATGCGACCGGGGTACGACAAAGCTCCATGCTAGGATTCTACGGGGAAAGGGTGTGCAGAAGAAGAAACCAACCATGTTCACTGTGGGAAGCTCAACCAAGCGCAACTTTTGTCCTACCAGTGCGTCACGGCACATGTGTAGCAGACAAAGAGGATGGAGCAAACATGCTATGTGGAGTAATGACCAAGCTGAAGCAGGTGCAAAAATCAGCAAATGACTTGGCAATCCCCACTCAATAAGCTTTTTGTACCCTGCGTCACGGCACATGTGTCGCAGTGCAGGCAAAGAGGTTGGAGACAGACATGTTGAAGCAGGTGCAAAAATCAGCAAATGACTTGGCAATCCCCACTCAATAAGCTTTTTGTACCCTTCAGGAGGAACAAAGTTTATGCTTCTTGAAAGCTTTACAAAACATCCATTTCCGTCACCCGCGGATCACATTTTCAAGTCCGTTTTGCGTGGCAGGTGTGGGACGGTCAATTATCACCCTCTTTTAAATATATAAGATTTTAAAGCTTTGGAGGGTGAAATGCGACCGGGGTACGACAAAGCTCCATTTCGCGTCACCCTCGGATCACATTTTCAATCGTTTTGCGTGGCAGGTGTGGACCGGTCGATTATCACCCTCTTTAAATAATAAGATTTTCAAAGCTTTTGGAGGGTGAAAAATGCGACCTTGGTGTACGCAAGCGTCCATGCTAGGATTCTACGGGGAAAGGGTGTGCAGAAGAAGAAAAAACCAACCATGTTCACTGTGGGAAGCTCAGCAAGCGCAACTTTTGTCCTACCAGTGCGTCACGGCACATGTGTAGCAGTGCAGACAAAGAGGATGGAGACAACATGTTATGTGGAGTAATGACCAAGCTGAAGCAGGTGCAAAAATCAGCAAATGACTTGGCAATCCCCACTCAATAAGCTTTTTGTACCCTGCGTCACGGCACATGTGTAGCAGTGCAGGCAAAGAGGTTGGAGACAGACATGTTGAAGCAGGTGCAAAAATCAGCAAATGACTTGGCAATCCCCACTCAATAAGCTTTTTGTACCCTTCAGGAGGAACAAAGTTTATGCTTCTTGAAAGCTTTACAAAACATCCATTTCGGTCACCCGCGGATCACATTTTCAAGTCCGTTTTGCGTGGCAGGTGTGGGACGGTCAATTATCACCCTCTTTTAAATATATAAGATTTTAAAGCTTTTGGAGGGTGAAAATGCGACCGGGGTACGACAAAGCTCCATGCTAGGATTCTACGGGGAAAGGGTGTGCAGAAGAAGAAACCAACCATGTTCACTGTGGGAAGCTCAGCAAGCGCAACTTTTGTCCTACCAGTGTATATATATATTTGTAACCTGGGTACTAAATACAAAGTTTTTAAAGCAAAAAACAAAGCAACTAGCAAGCAACCATACGGGGGTCGTTTCGCATCATCCCAAATAGCTGTATACATACACAATACAGCAAACCCAATTGAATTGACTAGTGACAACAGAAAACAGCCCAATAGCTTCGACAAAATAAGGAACCCATAGAAACATAGAACTGTGTCTTCGAGGATAAGAAAAATTATAGTTTCCCCATGAAATTCCAGGTTTCCAGCCTTCTCAAGCCTTCCCAACGCATGGTTATATAATATCAAGTAACCCATATTTTGGGGCAAGATAAATCCACTTCCTCTAATCAAGTCAACACCAAAAAAAACGAGGCGACATGGACCCGGCTTGTCACACAGGAAACAGTTGTCTACCACTATTTGCCGCTACCGTCCACCACTGGACCGACTCGCCACACAGTTATAGTGCATACACTTCAAAAAAAACGCACATATATATATATTTTTTATAAGTGCATATATATATATATGCACAACAAGATGTGTATATATATATATTATAATCATAGTATGATCATGTATTTATATGCGTGTATAAATATAATCATTCATTCACAAGTTGCCAGCTACTTGGATATGCCGGCCCCAGAAATGGTAGGTTGTTTTAATAACCAAATTGTGCTTACTAGTTAGTTCGCTACGTTGGTTTACACCTCCAACAGCTAGGCTTCATGGTACGTAGATCCAAAGTTAATAGGGAACTATAAACCAACTATAACCAACTAATTAGGGGGGAACTATCATCATAACATGACCCATTGATTCACAGGGAACCCAGTTAGATTAGGAGCGGCCTTAACGGGGCACCCACGGAGCCTTCCCGGGGCCCAGTTTGGTCGTCCTTGCTGTCCGCGGGGATCCCCTGCAGGTTCGGATTGCTGCAGCTCAGCCGTCCAGTGGAGGTGCCGTACCTCAGACAATGGGTGGTTTCGGAGCTTCCAAATATACATGCATATAACACATATACAAATATATATATATATATTATGTAAATAAAAGTTTGTGTGTATATATATATATATCATATATATACATATATATATATGTAAATAAAAGTTTGTGTATATATATATATATATTCAAACGAAATATGTATGGATATATTGTGTGAGGAAGTGACTTGCGGGTCATCTGTTTGGCTCTGCCAATGGCCTGGTACTTTGGATGATTTCTCCATGGTGGACGAGAGCTGCTCGCAAGTCCCACCAACTATACTTGGTACTTGGGTGCACTTGGTTCCAAAATCTCCAGCTATAGACATGTGTATGTCTGTATGTCTGTCTGTATGTATCTTTGCATGCTTGCACGCATGTATAAGGTACACAGTATCTATGTGTGAGTACACATGTGTTTTGATGGAATTGGGTGGAACATAATTATGATATCACATGGCCATGGGTGGGTTCCTGTGGAGAAAAATGCATTTTTCTAGTTGGCTAGGGTAGTATATACCTATCATATGTATATCCCCTTGATTCAATGGATGAATTTCTCAGGAGGTTTCGGTTGACAGTATCTATATATATATATTTGACTTTGCTGGTTCTGAGAGTTCAGAAATAAATATGCATAGATGATGTCTATATAGGCACTATTGACACTATATATATATATATCTATCTGTCTGTATTCAATGAATCTGTCCTTTAAATGTACAAAACGTGCATATCAAAGATATATTGAGTCATTTTTCAAATAGTGATGCATTAGGCATGATGTAGACATATTTTGATGCACATCTTAATGATATTCAATATGACAATATGGATGCAATTGAAATTTCAACTGGGGCTTGCATTGTCCATGAAACATGAAACATGTTATCAAAGTAGCAAAAAAACAAAAATACATATGTAAAAGGATTGTTTTATTGATGACACCTGAATTGTTGCTGCTTTGTGATGTATAAATATGATATAAATATGTTGTGCCCAAAATGGGAATGGATGGGAATGGGGTTTGCTGGGATTATTATTGATCATTATTGTGTATCATTCCCTCATTCCCTACTAAGCACAAGTAAGTCATTAGGTCAAAATATATCTTTACCATCTGGTTATTTCACAGTTTGCCATGGAAAGATCTATGATTTTCAATAGGTAAACCATCTATATCCTATTCATCCCGGGCGTGTTTGAAGGGAAACATCGTGGGGCACCGCCCGCCGAGAGCCCGGACGACCAACTGGGGTGAATGCGGTTCATCTCAGAAGCCTCGGCCGCTCAGCCGTAAAAAACAAAATGAGATTTGGCGTAATCCAATATATATTGATATATATATATGTATGTATGTATGTATGTATGTATGCATGCATGTATGCAGGTAGGTAGGTAGGTAGGTATGTAATATATATATGTGTGTTCTACAAATATACTATATGTATATGTATATATATATGTATTCATGACCAGTTGCATTTGATATGTTGTTTCTACTTATATCTACTTATAAGTTGGTTCGTTTTTATTTAGGCATGTATATATATATATATATATGGAAACATGTATATGCTAACCAATGGCAAATGTGCTTGAAACATGAAGATGTGTTGTGCTATCAAAGGTTCTATCAATTAAACATCGAAATCCCAACACCAGTGTTGCAACTTACCCCTTGGCAATCAATCACATCAATGGCAAAACCATTTATATTCCATGATTTTAAGATTTTAAAATTAACATCTCCATTTTGGTTCGGACTTCCCAGCGATGTTTGATGACACCAGAGGGTAAGTCCAATATGATCCCAGTCATATCCCAGTATTTTCCAATCAAACCATTTTAAAAAAACGGACTAACTGCAATTATGGTTCGAAGTAGCATTTTCCATTTTCCATCAATCAAACCTCAAGTTTTTTCCCATCTTCCTTCGTCCCAACTGTGGCTGCCACATGTTCTTGCATCGGCCGGGCGAAAGCCGTCAGGATTTTCTGCCCGAGGCTCGAGGGAGCCGTGGACATTTGTGAAATTGTGAAATAGTATATCCCATAGGACCCATGTATGGTATATATGCTAACATTTGGGGTATATTGATGGTAAATGTTACCATATATAGCATACATGGATCCGATGGGTATAGAATAGGTTGTAGCTGTAGCCTCTACAAAAAGCTATGGAAAGTCACCATCTTTAATAATTTTTTAATGGGTAAATCAACAAACTGAACGTGCCATTTTCAATAGCTATGTAACAAATTTCCAGGTAATTGGGCCATCGTGTGGCTTAATCTGGCTTAATGCGATGGATTACCCACCCAGTTAGGTAATCCCGTGGCTCCGAAAATGCTGTGAACCATCCCAACGAACCCGGTGGCTTGGCTGTATTATGAAGCTAAAATGACACCCAAATGGTTGGTTCTGGGATAATGTGGTTAAAACAATGCCATAAACCACCAATTTGGGAATGGTTTACGGTTTATACCACCTATTTATGGTGATTTGGGGGATGGTTTATTATTGTTTTACCCACATTAGATTTTTTGGGGTTTGCCTAAGTAATATGTGCTGACTATTGTTTACCAGACATATGCCTTGTTTGGTTTGACTAACCTTTCTGACCATCATGGTGAGTTCAGCCAGCGAGGCATCATTTTGGCCCAAGGACCCTCAGACTCAGTGGAAAACGAGGAATATAAAGCAAAGATCATCTACAATCATCTAGATCTATAATCTATAACCCCCATTCTATGATCTATAGCCTATGAATGTCTTTGATCTACAATCAGTCACGGGATCATAGATGATCATTATTCTGATGTTATTAGATTATCATACCCTCAGGTAAACTAACATAACTATGGAAAAACACAATTTTTAATGGGAAGACTCACTATTTCAATGGCCATTTTCAATAGCTTTTAGCAAATCACATCCCTTACGAGCCCTTGTCATCACCAGGCCTTGACGGAGGCCATCTGGCGGTAGATCTCCATCGCTTCAAATGCCTTCGAGGTGGTGCTTATTTGGCCATGAAAAATGGCCTGAATCTTACGGAAAGTGGTGGTTTATATGGATAGTAATAAACCAAATAAACCACTATCCATATTGATCATTAATGGCCTTATGGATAGTAATTATCCAAGCCATTTATATGGTGGTTTATATGGATAGTAATAATCCAGTTTATTGTGATCCAAATTGATGTAAATTGTGATTTACCCTCTGGTTATGACTAACAGTTTGCCATGGAAAAACAATTTTTTTAATAGGTAAACCATCTATAGATGGACCATTTTCCATGGCTATGTTAGTCATAACCAGAAGGTAATGGAATTTAAAGGTGGTTCAATGGTCATCTATATATGGAATATACTATGTTTTTCGTTTTTTTATTTGACAGCCCACAGAACGTAAAAATCTTTCGCCGCTGATGGTTATTGTCACAATCCAAGGTCTCTCCAAGTCACGAAAGCTCCATCTCGCGCGACGTCCATGGGCACCAAAGGAGTCCATGACTGCGGAAAGGTCATTTCGGCGCCGTCTTCACCAGCTGACAATGAATCACATGTGAGAGAACTCCCATGCAAACCGCCTGATGTTCCAGGAACCGTAAAATCCATCCGCCCAGAGGCAACTCTGGCCTCGGCATCGGAATAAGCATCCGCTGGAGCTTTGAGCGAAAAACGCTCGATGTTGAGTGCCCAACCTAAGGGACAATATAAGGGACAACTATGATGGGCTATGAAAAAACTTTGGTATTTGAAAAAATAATTGGAATAAAGAATTGTGGTTTAATGAAAAACATGAAGGTTATAATCCACCTGGATAATGATCGGAAAACAAGTGGATAAACAAAATAAAATCAATAACATGTATAATTAAAATGGAATATGTTGGTACGGTTAATGATGGCCATAGACGTCAAGAATGGGGTTTCCTTCCCCCGTTCATGTTACACACCCCCGAGAAAACGCCCCAGCAATATTTGGGACATTTAGGGATGTTTAATAGAAAGGGAGGGCAATACTTATATATATATATATATTATATAATATATATATATACTTGATATATCTAGGTACATGGATAATGATTGGTTTAAAAAAAAATATCTTTTGGCAACAGAAATCGTAATCCCAAGGAATAACCAAAAAAAACGGACTTTGTCAGTTATATTCCCATTTCTTCTGGCTGAAGGCCTGTCCTTTCATGCTTAAATCCATCAGTTTACGCTCGTCGATTGCCAAATGTGCCGGGAGAAACAACAACACACATATATATATACACATATTTGAATATATACATATGTGTGTGTGCAATCGCATGTAACTGTACATACATGTAAATGATCGTAGATAGATGGATGGATGGATAGATGGATAGATGGACAGATGGATAGATGGATAGATGGATAGATAAATAGATGGATAGATGGATAAGATAGATGGATGGATAGATAGATAGATGGATAGATGGATAGATGGATAGATGGACAAATGGATAGATGGATAGATGGATAGATGGGTAAGATGGATGGATGGATGGATAGATAGATAGAAATATAGATAGATAGACAGATAGATAGATAGATATATACACCAGTTTTCGAATATTTTATAACCTACAATTTGTACAATAGACATATCAATTGTTCGCCCCAAAAAGGGCCCGGGCGGCGCCTTCTTCGCCATCACTGGATCCCATCCTTTGGCTTCCAATTGCTGCTGCACCTCGGTCGAAACAAAACGATCCAATGATGATTTGAACCGACAATCAGGATCTTTATATCATCAAAATGAGATTTTTTTTCAATATTATAGGATAATAGATTTTAAAATCTTATGATTAGATTTTTTATGGGATTTTTATAACTAGAATTTTGATAGGATTTTTGCAATTAGATTTTTTCAAATATCATCAAAATCGGAACATCATCCCACTTGATAGTATAATGGGACTTGAATCCCTAATGTAATTTAAGACTAAAACATGTTTAACTAGCAAGTGGTAAATTGGGAATAATATTGCTGATGCCATGGGAATCTAATCATCCCTAATATATGGTGTAGTTTGTATATTTGGGCTTAACCAGCAATGATGGATGGTAATGATGGATAACAATGGTGTTATAATGGGAATGAACTCCCACTTAGCCTGTGGATCCAAATGCATTCTTGAGAAGGGCTACAAACACCACCAATTCATAGCACAGTCTTCCTTAGAAAGTAAGGCTAGCTCATGCTAGACCCACAGGAGGCGAGACGAGGTCATGGAACACAGACCCTCTGACAATTTCACATAACTAAACTGGTGCATTTATGGATGATTTACCTAATAGAAAACATGTTTTTGTATGGCCATGTTAATTTACCAGAGGGCAATTTATTGCTGAATATGTTTGCTTCTACCCTCTGGTAAACTAACGTAACTATGGAAAATCACCATTTTGAATAGGTAAATCAACTATAAATGGGGTATTTTCAATAGCTATGTTAAATTACCAGAGGGTAGTGGTTGACATCATATCCTTTTCGAATATCGAACACATTCGAACCATCGACCACTGGGCCGGGACGTCTCCTGGGGCATCAGGGCGTTCTGCGCTTCATCCTTCTGCAACTTTTCCAATGCTTCCTGCAGACAGCTTGGGAGAAGAGACACAGATCACCCTCAAAAAACAACACAGTCTCAGATTCTTAGATTGTGGGCCAACCCAATCTTGACTGGGTTGAATCAAAGATAAGTGCAGCAAAAACAAATAAAGAATATTGACAGGTCTCCACACATTCCGCCATCGAACACAACAAGGAAGGCTTCCTGCAAATTAGCCTTCAACACAATTCAAAGAACTTTCAACAATCTTAGAAAAAAACACAAGGGCTCCTGGGGGTTTGTCTCATAGGTAACTGGGCCCCGGCGACTGATTCCATAGGAACCAGGCCAAATGGCGAGGAACCACGCATAGGGAATATGATAAACACTATGATTCTTTTGATGATAGCCTAAAATAATCGAAAATAAAACCGTGAGGCAACCAAAATATTGTGGCTCATAAACGTGCGAAGCTCTTCTCACGGTTCCACCGCTTTTCTCTCACGGTTGCACCACCTTTTCTCACGGTTCCAGCCCATTTCCTCACGGTTTCTTAACGGTTCCATATCATGTTTTTTGCAAAAAGGTTGATCTCAAAGCGTTCAGGACATATGTTATAAATTATAAAGCACTCACAAAATATATTCAAATTTATCTTGAACCGTGGTGCCTGGTTCCGATTTCAAACTCTGGTTGCCCGTGAGGCTGGTAAGTAGGCCAGTTCCTAATATACAAATAACTGGACGCGTTGTATATATATATAATAACTATATATATATATTATATGTGTATATATATATTAATGTATGTCTATAATTAATATTAATTAATTACACGTGTTTCCTATTGTTCATCATTATTTTTTGGCCATACTTGAAATCGAGGAGAAACACCCGCCCTCACCGGCGCCTTGCCAGTGGAGGGCCATCCCTTCTTGGTGAACATCTTGCGCCCCGCGGCAGGCTCCAAGCCCCAACTCTCGATCGTGAAGCGCCTCAGCGAGTCTTGATGGGAAATCACTTGTAAACAGGGAATTGTTTAGCCACCAAACAAGGTTAATTTTATCCAATAGTGACTGGCTGGTGGTTTTTCACTCCCTGAGATAATATATATCTCTATATATACATATAGAATAATAATAAATATAATAATAATAATGATAATAATAATATATTGTAATATATATATATATATGCATATATTCATTTATATATATATATAGCCATTTGGGACGATCCAAAGTAGGATGGTAAACGGTAGTTCAATCCACCAAACACTTGTGGTGATTGTATCCTATAGGGTTGGGGTTACATGATGTTGCATGTATATAATGCTTTGAGGCCTAGCGATTTCATCTGGGACCACAAGACAACAGAAAACAAAACTAATTAAGAACAAAGCGAACAAAACATAATGAGACAGAGCAATGATTTGCATTTGGAACATTTGGGGGTCAAGGTGGGTTCCGTATTCCCACCGAAATATCCCGATAATACTTGTAGTCACGGAACCACGCCCACGTGGCGTGAGATATTGGTGACGGCCTCCTACCTGTTACCACAACATGTTGATGGGGTCATCAGTTCCACTGCAGTCTTGCTTGAGTTTAACTGGTGTTAAAACAGTTCCTTGTCCCAAAAATAAACGGCCCCCAAAACAATACTAGTTTTCATAGCCAATCTAAAGACTACAGTCTATAGTGGTTATTCTGTGGTTCCCACCTAAACGGCTAAGTGGTGTTATTAGTAAGAAGAAAATTAATTATGTCCGGTCTCCTGGCCAATCTGACAAATACTTAATACTTTGAAAAAAAAACTTAGCTGATTACTCTAGTCTCTCTGTCATCTTTGTTCTCGTTCTGGCTCACTAACAAGGACAAGGTTGACCATGTGCCTGGGGAATTTTACCGGCAAAAATCAAGGTTTACCCTCCGGTAATGAAAGGTGGCTGGGCTGCAAAATTTCCTATGAATGGAAGCTTTACCTGGAAATTCATCTATCAATGGGGGATTTTCTGTTGCAATGTTTGTTAGATTGTACTGAGTCGCCAACTTTTGGGATGATTCCCGAATTCTATATCTCCAGCACCAGCCGACCTCGCTCCCAAGGACTATAGGAAGCGGTGGGGGCCTCTGAGGAGTTCGGGGTAGCGGTGCTGTTTGCGGCGGCCTTCGGAGTGCCAGCGAAGCCAAGAAAGGGCGCCGGGGCTGCATGTTCTTCACATTCGCCTCCATTTCCATCAGCTCCAAAACCATCACTGGCGTCGTGACATCGGCCTGTGAAGTCGATATTTTTTCCCAGCTATACACCCATCAGAAAAAATAGCACATCCCCATTCTATCCTACTATACGACGATACCACCATCTTTGCCAAATCTAAACAACATGTTTGAATAGCAATTAATATAACTGAAAACAGGGGTTACCGGACTACCAGAATGGATTATGATTACCTGTAGTTTAATATAACTCATTGGGGTTTCACCTCGTCATGGTGCAATCCTCCAAGCCACTCCGATGAACGCAGTTTGGACCCATCTTTGGCCTGATGTGGCGAATGGTGATTGAAGGCACTAAAGATCGCAGTTAAATGAGGGATCGCCGCAGCCAACCAGTATGCAACCAATACATGGAGTAATTGGAGTATCATCAGATCATCAGAATATCACTGGGATATACTTAGAAAATAATTACGTGCTATAGCCTGCAAAAGAAAAACATCTTTACTTGGAACCCTGCAACAACTAGCTGGTAGGTGAATGTTCCGCCAGCGATTTTCTGGCAAAATATGAATTCAAAGTTGACATAGTTAAGCCGCTAGAGATAATATCTAAAGATGCTGATCCAGCAAAACATGTGATGTACCCTCTGGTAAACTAACATCACTATGGAAAATCACAATTTTTCATGGGAAAATCCACTATAAATGGCAATTTTCAATAGCTATGTCAAATTACCAGAGGGTATACGGTATACATAGGACCAGGGCGATTTGACCTAGCAATAACTATAGTTGAACCAGCGATTCCAGCTGCACAAGGAGCTTCGATCCAGCCCCGGTTGACAGGGTTCTTCCAACATGGCCATGGTTGCCTTGCAAATATCCCAATTTATAGCACCATAGTCAAGTACTCATCCGGAATCATCCGCCGGTATTGTTGGCGGCCCATTTCAACATCTCCATGAAATATCCATGTTATCTCTACGTTGGCTATATCCCCATTCAAACCCGATCTAAACAAAACCAAGCCACAACAAATTCAGATACATAGAAAAAACATGCATTATATACAGTACATCACATTAAATCACCAATTATATTTTTGCTCTATCCCCGACGATTCGATTCTTACATCCCATCCCATCACCATGAATTTTCATCATCTCAACTTCATATTCCATTAATGTGGGAAAACAATGCCATAAACCACCCATTTGGGAATGGTTTATACCACCTATTTATGGTGATGACCGGGGTCTGATTAATTATTGTTTTACCAACATTACTTGGATTTGCTTAAGGCATCCCCCAAAAAAAAAACATAACCTCAATGAATTCCCCAAATGCTGCGTTTCTGCGGTAAGTCACATCACCAAAAAATCATCCGTTTGAAAACCCATTCTATCCCCATATAATCCCGATCCAATGATATCCCACTAAAAAAAAAACAAGCTGGTTGGTGGTTTCAACCCCTCTGAAAAATATTAGTCAATGGGAAGGATTATCCCATATATTACGGACAATAAAAAAATGTTTGAAACCACCAACCAGCAAGTATATGTCAGTATCCCAATCATCACACATGGCAATCAAAAATCCGGCATTGATAATCCGGCATATGTTCAAATGATATCCCAGCAACTTCCCAGCGAAGATCACCTCCAGTTATAGGTCTTTGTTCCCCACATTTGCCGGTTATTTTTCTATTAAAAACTTATAAACACTTCCATTTCAAGGGATCATGTCCCATAGTTCCAAGGATTTTACCAGCGGTAAACTCCATTGTCATTATAATTCCGCTAGATTGAAATAAACAACATCCCAAATATGTACATACTAAACATTATATATATATATATACCTGGGGTGGTGTTAGCATAGTCAAATAGTACTTTTTGTTTCTTTGAAGTTGTGATCTTGAACCTAAAAAATCGGCCATAATCACATGATTTATAGCGATTATCCATATAATCCATTATCAATGTAATCCCAAAACCCAAAAGCCTATGACCCATGGCAATTTTTCAATTCGTGGGATATTACTTTTTACTATAATAATCCATCAATAATAATGGATCATAATGAATGGTATCATATCTTGATAGGATGACAAGTCATTTGACCCAATGTGGGAGGAACCATCAACCGAGTATGATGTAATAAGGAAGACCTGGTCACCCAGCAGCAGGAATTATCAGTCACTGTTGTTACAAGAATCTGTTCCCATTTCTGGTGCCCATCAATCTGAATTGCAACCAGTTTAATTATGAATTGTTCAATCATAATTTGCTCAAACAATGTGTAAATATATGTTAATTAATATTATGAAATTATGAATGAACAATTCATAATTAGTTCAAATGATTTGGTAAATCAGCTTTTCAATACAAGATGATTTGCTGAACATCATAATGTGACCAATATTTTTTGTAAGGCTGTACTTAAGCAAATCACCTCACAGCATATGGGGGTCCGTAGCCCCCCTCCTGTGTGAGGTCCTGAGCGCTCAGGACCTTGTACCACCTCGAGGTGACTATCTTAACTACAGATGAAAAAAATCCAACTAGGGGGTTACAAGGTCAAACGGCCTGCCCCAATCTACGCTGGGGCGAGGAGGTACAAGGTCCTGAGCGCTCAGGACCTCACAGGGGATGGGGGTTGGTAGCCCCCCTCCTGTACAAGGTGATTTGCTTAAGTACAGGTGGAAAATTCAAAATATTCAGGATGGGAATTCGCTGCGAATTCATTCGGTTTCCTTTTCAGTAGTAGGCTTGTACCACGTACCCATTTGAAACTTTGGGGTCATCTCCGCACAAACAGAATCAGCAGCCAGCATTCCTTTCCCCAAATCCCAAGGTTCGCTCAATGGGCAATCACCACTGCTAAGGCTAATCAAATGTAGGTCGAAGCTAATCTCATTGCTGCTCCCCACCCTCTTCCTGGATCTTCTCTTCTGCCAAAACCATTTCCTCTTCAATCTGAATATCCCTCACAAAAAGATCATCGCAATCACAATCGTTCGAAATGCAGTTCAATGCTGATCTGTCTCGCCTCATGTACAGGCAAGTCATGGCATATACTTAAAGTGATTGGTGATTCAACATAATATAATCAGACCTAAATAATGACTAAGCCAATTCAAAGTTACCGATTCAGAAACTTCTTCCAGTAGCACAGGTAATGGAACCGAACTTCCTCTTTGTTGATGCTAGCATGGAAGGCTCAAAAATTGCATAATACTATTTGACTATCTTAACTGCAGGCCAGATACACTGTATATATTGTAATTGTTTGCATTTATATCCAAAATATACATCCCAATTAATTAACCCCCATGTCTAGTCAGTTTTCCCATATCATATATTCATAATAGTTTTGCCATGAAGCAAATCCATTCCCTTCCAATCTTCAGGCCTTGGCGCCCTTGGGCACTGAGAAGTCCCGGGTGGCCTCTGCAAGGGCTTTTTGTGGAGCGTCGGCCGATCTAGTGGTCGCTGAAAAATGATGGTTATGAGCCTATTCAAATGGTGATCTATTGGGATTTAATGGTGATTTCATGGGATTTCATGGTGATTTAACAGAAATTCAATAGACTTAATGAAATTTAAATGTGCTGATGGGATTATTCATAGGATTACTGTTGATTTAAGCTTCCAAAATTGTGATATAATGGGATGGAATTGCAACATCATGGGGATATAATGGGAATATCATGGGAGTGTATAGAGGCTATAGAGGGTGGCGCCCCATATAAGTTGGCAAAGTCGGTTTATGAATAGGTCAGTTAGGGGTAATGGTAGATATACCGGGCTATTCATAAATTGGGGGGGTTGAGCCAATACCAACACAAGAACAATATAGAGATCATGGATGATGGATCTACCAATCAATGCGTGATGGATATATAGGGTTGTTAAATACAAATTGATACCATTTACTACAGTTGAGAACCTGGGATACCTTGGGACTTGCTGACCAGGGAATTACAAAATGGGATGATCATCTAACAGGTTGCCATTCTATTGAGAAAAGTAAGCCCAAGAATCTTGCGAACTGTGGATCATCAACAAAGGGAAATTAATCATCAAACAGATTGGATTGAACCAACATTCACTACAAAGTAGGTACTACATGATCGTGGATGGGCATCCGGGCATCCCAGTTGTGAAACCAAACAAATAATGTAACTGATCCATCCATCTTTCAGAATTCACTGCTGTTGGTTTATAAAATGTAAACCACGTTTGGAACAACACCAATTGCACATGTGGAAAGAAAAAAACAAAACGTGATGACCCTGGCGAATGACCCAACGTGATCCTGGAAAATGGACGATGGTTCCCAGATGTTCCCAGCACCCTTCTTGACACCCCACAACTGTCGAACAAGCCTTTAGAAAGTCCCTCAAACGTGTTAGATGAAGCTATAACTTTATATACCCTCTGGTTATTTACCATAGCCATGGGAGATGGACCATTTATAGATGGTTTACCTATTAATAGCATGGTGGATCTTTCCATGGCAAACTGTTAGTCATAACCAGATGGTAACTTTAGCATACTTTGGCTACTGACAAGTCGTCATGAGGAAGCAACCCCCTACCAGGCCGGTGAACCCCCAATGATGGTGAAAAACGGTCCACCTGACGATTCCTGGGACCCTGCGGCCCGTTGGCCTCCAATTGCTCGCTCTCATCGAAGATATTCTTGGTCCCTGACCGCTGACCGCTGATCAGTTCAATGATTTAACATTGTAAAACCATGTAAAACCCTTCAACTTGCGGAACCATATCTCATCCTACATGGGTATGGGCAAAGATTGTGGTAACCATTAATGGTTCTGGTAACCCAAAGTGAATGGTCAACGTTCAATACGTTACGGTCAATGCTAGAAACAGAACCAAACTCTGTGGGGACCTCAACTGTAAGAAACCATCCCCGACAGCAGGGGCTTATCATGGGGCATACCCCTGCTTCGGGTGATTTACAATGGCCCTTTGTTGTGGATCCCACATGAAACGGTGCTTCTGTTCGTAATGAAAATAATGGGACTATACTAATTGGTTTGGGCGGGCCTCGGACCCCTGTGGCTTTGACCGGGTCAAACAATCGAATATCCGCAAAAGAATAGTTGCATTCAAACCGATCAACAAGAATGAGTGAATCAATAATGTCCTTTTGGTAAAAGTAGAGGGGCCGGTTTGGTATATACCATCTATCATCATTTACCTGCTATTAAAGGGGTTTCTTCAAACCCCTCTTTTTTCATCAACCAAACAATGGGAAAAGGACATCTATGGAGTTAATTCGGTGATTTCTGGACGCATGGCCGCATGGCTTCCTATACCTGCATGCGCTTGCACGCCCCATTGGAATCAAAACCATGCACCATATTTTTGGCAGCGAGAGCACTGCTTGGAATTTGCTTGAAATTTCTGCCCTTGTATGCTGTTGAACACATCAGGAACGTTCCGGCCAAGATTTCTCACCATACTGTGGATGAACGAAATCCTGCACCACCTTGGATGGTTGAAACCCTACAAATAATGGGATAAACCATGTATTAACTGGTGCAGGATTTCTTCCGTCCACAGTATGTGAGTGAAAATTGGAGTATAATGTGCGGCCCCCCAGTTATAAGTTGGTTTATAAGCCTCAGTAACTATAGTTATAAGTGCCATAAACCATAGTTATTGGAGTTATAAACCAACTTAGCTATCTTACGGGCCTCACATTGTATAATAGCCTCTATTAGCCAAAGGCTGGGATTCCTTTGAACAATGTGCTCCGCCAGTCATTGCCATCGGGTGACTCGACAATCTCCCACCTCCAAACAGCAGCTGCCGCAACTGTTGGTGACTTTGCGGGTTGATGAGTCCCTTAGCCCACCCCAGTGATGCTGACTCTCAGGCTTTGGAAGATCTACACGCGCAACAAAACATACAAGAAGCATCGGCAAATAGACGTACATATGGCATCATATAGGTACATGATGGTACATGTGTGTGAATCGGGTTCATCGTCCCCATGGAAGCATAAGTTGATGTACTCCATTGAATCCGGGATGATCCGTGTGTGGATATTTTGCAGATTGAATCAATTGCCAATGGTTTTTCTCAGAATCTCTAGCAGAATCTTAAAGGCAACGGAAATTCTTGGCTGGGTTGGTTTTGAAAGTTTTGTCATCTCATTCACCTCCCTCATGTCACAGCACAGAATGAAAAGTGACCACTAGCAAATGGGTAGTACAACTCTGGCTCTACCCACACCTGCACCTGCATGGGTCTGGCTGAAAATGTGGAGGAAATGGTGATTAACAATTATATAAAATTTGGAGCACTCTATGTCAGAAAAACCTAAATAAATATATTGTTACTCGCTCAGTTATAAAAGTTGCTGCCTCCCAATATGTTTTCCACTTGTGCCGAGCATCAGAATCAGGATTCATCACGGTGCCTTCCACTTCAATCTCTCCCAGGATTTCTTTGTACTGGGACTCCATCCTCCGATCCACGATCAGACCAGAGGTTTCCATTTCCCGTGTCATTTCAAGCTGGACATTGGAAGTCCTAAAGCTAATCATGGCAATGGAACGTGTCCCATTTCTAGATGCTATTCCCAGCCAGCCATATTTGATGACAGGGTACAAGCCGAGGATCTGTCGGGGCAAGTTCTTGGGGTCAATCCCCGCCCCAGTAAACTAACATGGAGACGGATAGTCCATAAAAATCCAACCTTGGTAAACGGGACACCCACGGATTTCCGTAGCCATGTTCGATCTGGGGAACTGGATCATCGATCACTTACCCGGCCTGGTAAACATACAGTCAAAACTATATTGAAAATGGCCATAGAAATAGTGGATTTAGCCATCAAAAATGGTAATGTTCCATAGTTTTTTGTATGTTTACCACAGGGTACCAATAAACAAACATTGTTTTTGCTTAGCCTCCTGTGATCAAACATGGCTAGACATCCCCTTTTTTCTGTCATTTTTTTGGAGTTTTTTGCTAGGAGAATCTAAAATGGTGGATTCTCCAGCAAGCCATGTTTCAATCCCAGAAAGTATATCCATGAATATCTAACTATTAGACCATATTTGAAAAACACACACGCACACACACTTATATATATATGAATAAAAGTGTATATATATATATGTATTATAATTGTATATGTATATATATATATATTATATTACTGTATATTTTTTTTAAAAAAAAACAGTAAACTACCATGAAACCACCTTCTTTCAAGCCATAGCCCGCTGCCCTCTCCCGGAGCCCGGAACTCTGCACCTGCGCAAGTCCTCCGTGGCGTGCCGCTCGATCTCTTGCAGCCGAGCACGGTCCACCGAGATGCCTCCGAGGATCGACGGGGAGGCCCCTGGGATGGAATGGCCTCTGGAAAACCATAGGAAAACCATAGGAAAACCATAGGAAAATGGTGGTTTTAACGGGAAAACCCATAGGAAAACCTTAGGACCTTAGGAAAATGGAGGTTTACATAGGTTTACCCTCTGGTAATTTGTTACAGTTTGCTATAGAAAATCACCATGTTTAATGGGTAAACCATCTATCAATGGGCCATGTTCCATCGCTATGTTAGTTTACCAGAGGGTAATTCTAATATATTGGTGGTATTATAGAGTGTTGATGATGTTTACAGTGGTAGAAAAGCAGCTCTAATGATGTACAACCAAAACTGTGAATATGATGTGGACTTCATGGAATACATTTAAAACATTTTAAAACAAAAACAGTTGACATACTATACATATATTTGGGTAAATTATAATATTTCACTACCCTGAATTAAGACCATTTTGGGATTATAGTGAGGGAGAACAATGAGGTCGTTATAATTTACCACATATATGGCAACCCCCAAAAAAATACAACTAGAAAAGACCAGTGAAAATAGTGACAAATTGCTGTTCTATCTGTTCGGGATTTACCACAGACCGCAGAAGTGACCCCATCAAGTCGCCAAAGGTGGCCCAACAATGGATTCGTTTATAGCAATCCGCCAAACTGAAGAGTTCCAAAGTTGAAAATCATTAATAAATTTAGTAATCATTAGCGACCAAAGGGACAAAGGCCCAGTTCCCAATTGCTGACTCGATCGTCACCATGACAGATTTTTTGGTCACTCACTCAGAGTGTAGAAAATCGATGCAAACATCTCTCTGAACAAGAGCGGTGAGTGGGACCAGTCTGAACTCAGCTTGGCTGAAGCGTATCGGATCCCATCTTGGAGGTGAGTGGGAAGGCATGATTGTGGAGCTGATATGTGCCCTGCCCACGCTCACATAGGAAGAGGCCATTGCATGTGCAAAATCAATGCGTCGAAAATGGCGAGTCTTCACTCGATTGACTGCCACATGGTCCTCAGGACCGTCATGATAGTGCTGCAAGCTGATGTCCTCAGCCTTGGCATACAAGATCTTGCACAATGGGAAAGCTGTGAAGTTCAGATCTTCGCCATGGTACTCTATATCACGGGTGGTGATTGGACCAAAACATGACAAGCATCTTGGTGTAGCTACCATGTAGGTGACTGGATCATCCGTAGTGGTCGCAAATATGGCGGAGTGGGCACTAACCACACTGTCGATCAGCAGCATCAGTTCCTGGTATAGTATATGACCATCTCCTTTCCATCTTTCATGGCCAGAGAGACAAGATTCCTCAAATAGTGCCATATGTGTGTTGGATTTACCATCTATAACATCCTGGAAAGATGTTTTTGTTTTGCTGTTTTTGCATCCCAATATACACAGGTTTTCCAACTTCCCGCAGATTTTCCTAGGCACTCACCAGGGACATGGACGTGGTCGTGATGGCCTATCAGCCTAGCTGTTTTACCCAGCAAACCGACGATACACGCACATGTGAATCAATAAATGCATGTGGATACTATATAATATACTGGACTCATATTGAACCCCAAACATACTGTAGGATATAGATGTTTACTTTCTATGCATCTCGAGCATGTGCCAAACATATATTAGCATTTTGTTCAATTCCAAAATTGGATCCAGAATATATATATATATATACATGCAATTATATACATATAACCAGGGCGGTCGCAAAAGGGGTACCACTTTTGTAAGCATATTCTGTGCAAACTATTTGTCTGAACGGCACCGATTTTTTCAGGCGGCACCAGGTGGTACCCTTGGCCAGGATTTGAATCTGAGTTGAATCCCAAATAATCGTTCTAACAATATGGAAGTTATTATGGCTATTATCCCAAATAATCGTCTGATCTGAGTCTGAGTTGAATCCCAAATACCTTAAGTTCGATGATTTACCTGTCGTTCTGTCACAATGATCTTCCATAGCAACTGACCATGGATTTCTGCTACACACTGTAGTATAGGAAACCGATTTTATTGGCCCAATACTAAAGAAGCAACTGACCATGAAGGGTAGTAACTTTAGTGTTGGGAAAGGAGTACCATGATCCATGGCATGGCTCCTACCAGGCAAAAAACACGATCCATTTCTCTGCCTCGTTCTTGCATCGATGCCAAGCATTCGGAGAATCTGGAAGACAAATACCTTGGAGTCAGCATGATTCAATCAGCAGCAAGGATGGATTTGACCATCACTGACCAGAAAACGATGGCAAATTCACCATGAAACCATGGCTAGTTTCACCAAAGAAATGAATTTTCAACCAAAACAACAGGGTTCATCTGGTTCATACCCTTTCCGATAAGATTTTACCCTCTGAACCGTGAAATTCAGGTGATTCCCTTAGATCTATTGGATTATTCAATGCTTCCCTGGTGCTTTGGGTTCAACTTGTTGGTGGCTTCAGTGCTCAGCAAAATCCAAGATGCTCGGAGTAGAAGTCCCACATCGTCTTGCCTGGCACTTTTTGTTTTCGAGTATGTCCATGTCCATCCTATCTTTGGAAACGGCACATTCACCCTGGCACATTTGGCTGGCTTCTAGGTTTGTCTGATTGAACATATAAAGAAATCATACCATAACACATGGAAGTCGATAGTCTTGCGTGGACAATCCAGCACTACATAGATGTGGACCATCCACCATTTGTGATAAGTTATGTGCTGTCGCTTCAAGACCAATGGCTAACCGTATAATCTTATCGATCAGTGAAATGGCACCCTAAATGAAAAGCCTCAGGGTTGGAGGGCTCCACTTCAGGTAGGGGGTGCTAAGGAAAAGTAGACTAATCCAATTGTTCTGACATAGAAAGTTAGCAAAAAAATGGGAACCACCATGCACCACCAACCAACTTATCTAAGTCTTGGTCCAAGAACTCTGTTTCACGATGGTTAATTCCTGATCTCGCACTCTTTCTCGCCTGTGTCCTGCTGCACTGACGCACTGGTGCCAGCTGCACCTGCAGGGAGAACGGTGTGTGAATCAAACATTCCCCATGTCGTTTGATGAATTTCACATATTATGGACATATGATGTGAAAACATCAAATTTACATATATATATATATGTGTGTGTGTGTGAATGATCACCAGAGTTTAAATATCAGTTATATATGATTTTCCCACATTATATATATATAATTCAGATCACATATATACCCTCTGGTAATTTAACATAGCTATTGAAAATGGCAATTTATGGTGAGTGTTCCCATTAAAAAATGCTGATTGTCCATAGTGATGTGGCTGTTTACCAGGCCGGGTAATTCAGATTCAGATGCCCATTGATTGGTGATTTTCCGCTCGCCATGTCAGCCATCCTATCTTTAAGGGATAAGCTGGCACGGCTGGCACCTCCACTGCTAGGCAGTCGATTCTTGACCTGGCGGCAAAGCCAAGAGCAAAGATATGAAGAGTCATGCCTCATTTTACTAGCGGTATAATAGTGGTATAATGGTGATATATGCGTATATATATATATATATTATAAAGGTTTATATTTATAATGATGTTCAACCAGCCAGAAATAGGTATATAATGTGGGCTAAATGGTTGGTGGTTTGTAAGCTATGTATCATCAAACATGGGTTGTTTCAGTTGTTTCATATTCTCCACTGATCATACCTGGGATGCACTCCCAAGTCCACCCCTAGAAACTGGCTTGTCTTACTTGATCTGTCATTCAGGTGGCCACAGTATCCGGAATCATCTGCGAAACTACTATGAGTTATGTCGATACATCTGGTTAAGTTGCTACACATCGGACATTTTCTGCGAACGTTGCTGAGAAATTCAGCCATGTCAGTAGCCAGGAAACACAATGTGATTTAACTTGTCAACCCTACATGTAGATTAATCTATTGCTATATAGATGGCTATTACAAAGCAAACACGGAGTTTCCTTGGTGATGTGCTTTGCGATTGAATGCCCATGCCATTGTCGCTGAATTGGAACTATAGAGATTCAACAAACTCCCCCCGAAGCTGACCATCATTCAATACTCAGGGTTCGAGTTTAAAAGCACATTTTCACCACCACCAACGGCGTGTCAACCAATTACTGCAGGAGCATAATCTACCAGTTCACGGTGATTCCATCATTTGTCTCCGGCCACTATGTCGGCAAGAAAACAACATCTTGAACACCACCAATCATGAGAACATGGCTTGTGAAAACAGTCTCAAGCCGGATGTTTCTTGGTAAAAAATCCAAGATCAAAGTGACAATCTGCACCATGTCCCTGCTCACTAGTAAAATCATGTAAAATCACAGTTTCGGTTGATTATAACATAACCATTTCAGATGTGTATCCATCCAATTTCATATCCAGGAACGGACTCAATCATATTCAATGGATGGGAAACAAACACTAAAGATTGTAACGGCAGCATCCTTTCCACTACGTAGGAGTTCCCTTGTAGTACATCCACTGACATCCACTGACTATTCCATCCACTGTTGAAACACACCATTGACTATCCCATCCACTGTTGAAACACACCCCACCTGTTCCTTTGGGCGGCTCATGCGAAAGAGCTGGGGCCTAAAAGGGACACAGCAGCGGAAGGTGGGCACTTTTTTTTCCAACCTGGCAATGCATCATGGCGCATTAAAAACATAGAATCACAAAAACATGTTTGTTGGTAATTCCGTGTGTTCAATGGGAAAATCAGCTCCTTGTCATTTGGCACTATTGACAAAAACCTGAGTCCGATTTTTGATTATGTTTCTGTACTCGCATTTTTGTGCATTTTGATGGCTTTGCGATTCACACTATCCTGCAATGACGTGTCGGCCGTGCGGGGATGTTCAACATTACGAAGCATAATGTATATATGTGGTGCAGTGAGGTCGTTACAATTAATCCAAATTCATAGCCCGGTACTTGCGCCATGTTGGAACCGTTTCCACTGCTGAGAGTCCGAGCATAATTTA